CCGTCCGGAATTCCTGGATGCCGGAAGTGAGGAGTGAGTTCGGTCCACTGGATTTCAGCGGGGAAGAAGCCCTCTCAGCTCTCCCTGGGGTACCCCGCGGGCCACACCGCCTCCGTTGTTACTTCTGTCACCCGTGTCATTATAAGTTATCCCTTTCTTTGCTCCTTTTTGAGGCTTTCTGTGACATGGATACTTTGATGTCGGGACAAAAACAAACTGACCAAAAGACAAGCGCAAAAACAAGTCAGAGTAGCACAATAGGGACAGTTCAATCAGTCATGTTATAAGTATCCTGTTCATTCTTCAATCTGTTCAGACAATTCATCAAAAATTACATACTGCAGCTAAGAGAGCTAGAATGTTTCATGCAGTGGTAACGCAGCAGAAACGAAAGATAAGATTTTTATGGAAGATTGACAGTCATACAAATAATGCGAAGACTTCAGTGGCGTTTGCCTTACAGGTCGGAGTGTTTTACTTGTATTAGACAGATTTACATCACCTTTCTGAATGGGCAATTTTACCCATACACGATCAGTCAAAAAAATGACTCTGGCTGTCAAGTTCGAAGATTTGACGTTTTCCCCGTTACATCAAAACTATAGGAAAATTATGTCAAGACGTAAGTCGACCCTCGCTGATACTACTGGTGAAGGGACTCGGTTGGCCCTCTGAAAATCCTTTCGTGACGTGTTTTTTCCCCAAGTGTGAGATTGTAGATGACAGCTGTTTTGCCCACACTAGTACGTGTTTCCTTATTGACACAGTAGGCCTGCTAACTGATGACTTGGCAGAAAAGCTTAAAGAGATTCTTTCAGAGGCAATTAGCTCAACTTAAGGGGTTATGGCCGCTTAAGAGTCGTGAACTTACGTGGCAAAATGGAGTTAGAACGCCTTTTACCTGTTAAATACCCTTTAAACGAATATTCGTATCTTTGTTCCTGACTCATCTGAAGGCATGATGCAATGCGTTGACAAAATGTGGGGGGGGTTCGCTTTTGTTTTGGGTTTTTCGTTGCATGGAATGACGACTGATCCTGTGCAAGGTTTGTTTTGCCAAACTAATAGGAGTATCTTATCTGGTATCTGTACTTCAAGGAATCCATTTTCTTCAAGAGGATGGCAAGGAAGCCCAGGTGATCTATAAAAACACCTTCCACTGGCAATGTTCACGGGGGTGCACTTCTTATACTTTTATTCCATTTGTTGTATTTTAACAGCCCTCCATCCGCGCGAGTTGCATGGGGTCACCCCTTTACTTGCTGCATCTTCCGGAATTCCTTTCATTTTCCGCAGAGGCAAAAGCAGGGTTTGAAAGTACATGCTTTTGTGGTCTAAAAAGCCCCCTCTGCGATTGTTGGACAAACTGTATTGTCTTGGAGAAAACCCAGCGTTCTCAGAAAACGAAAACGTGCAAAGACGAGAGCTTTTACCCCCGTATCACCTATCACGGCGCAGAGCACACAGGTTGCCGATTTCTAAAGGAATTCTTACCCCTCCCTAATACTCCGATACCAAAAGCTAGGACCCCCCCCCGTTCAATTCACTTGTTCCCTCTATTGACACACGCCAGTTTCCTCGCTATGCGCCGTGAGTAGACTGTGGGGGGGGGAGACTGCTGAGCGATCAAAAGTACCGCTCTATAACAAACTTGACCACTCTGGCCACAATTGGATCGATACCACGGCTTGCAGTAATACCACAGTTAACCCCACTTAACACTTCATCGGTAACAATAAGGTGTGAATGGAGTTGCTGTCCACCAGGCCTCAAAATGTGCAAACGCTGAAAAGTACCCCCAATAATTGAATTAAGTGAGGATGGCTACTGCATTTCGTAGTTGATGGGCCTTAAATGGATCACAGCCCGTGCATTTTGCGGGCCTGTTCTCTCTTATCATCAGAGAGGAAAAACGATGAGGGTTGTTTCTGGGTATTATTTCATGGGGGGGGGGATATGTCAAGATGTTGTGGTTTTTAAATTTCAATCGTTGCCTTGGCCAATTGAGTGGAAAACGTCGTGTTGCTTGTCAACAGAGCCTTTAGGGCCGTGATAGGGGGGATGGACAGAGATCAGAAATCCAAGAGAGAAAAGGAGAAAATGCCCACTGTTCAGTAATTTTTCGTTTCAGCATAAGTGTTGTCAAACTGCAAAGTCATGGCATCTGCCTTTTCATAATCTCTTCCATGTCTTTTCCTTTTTCTTTCCGGGGACTCGGGGTGTCTTCTTTCACTGAATTTGTAGCTTCTTTCCCTACTGAGTGGTGTCGGTCTTCAAATTTTCCCTGTGTCTCAGCAAGACAAAAGTAGGCTCATCATTGCTTCCCCCTGATACATTTTCCTACCTTTTCTTTTTGCACCTGTCTCCTTTGATATCCTTACACCTGGTCTACGCCGTTTGGTCTTATCCTTCATTCCTTCCAATTCCTTTTGTTCATATTTCTTAGCAGTGTTCCTCACCCTCAGTTCACGGTTCATCGCAGGCGCGACAGGCAAACCACGGTCCAATATGACAGACGCCCTCAGTGGTTCGATTAGAGCAAGTATAAATTTTTTCTCTCTCTCTACTAGAAGCTCGAATGCATTCCAGATTCCCGGCATATTATTATTATTTTAACCTTGCCTGTAATTAATGTTACATCGGTGTTCTCCGATTCTAAGTTCTTCTATTTAAGTTAACATAATTCATGGTTGTTACTTGGACATTTTACTCATTTTGTGGTAAAAGTGGTGACACAAAATAACGGTCCAGCAAAAACTAGTAATCTTTCAAGGTTCTGTATTTAGTTTTGATTATTTTGTTCTTTTACAAAGACTGCAACAAATATATTAGCCTGTCATAATTAATCCGGTTGAAACCCTACTTTAAAAGATTGGTACAGGGTACAATTATTGAAAATGGCGGACAAAAACGGTGGTACACTGTAAATGATACCATCAATTGTGATAATGAAATGTCACTATTTGGAACAAAATTCTATCGGTTAAAACATTTCAGAGACCGGTTTTATTTTGATGCATAATTAAAAACCAAAATATTTAGAAATGTCTTGTGTGTGAAACCTTCGGAAATCGGAAAGTTAACTTCATAGCCTACTCGTTCGTACGATAACCAAAGGCGCTGAATTTTACGGGAAAATTTTTGACGACTTGTAACTTGTATCAAATGTTAATGTATTCAGCAGGTATAAAGCAGCCAATTTTTATTGAAATTGTTTATTTTATTACGAATTTTATCCTTTTTTAAACAAATCCTGTATTAAAGAACGTACATGTATTTAAAGTGTTTGCAGAATGCATACACCGTTTTTCAACTTGTTGAACGCTGTTCCTACGAAAGATGTCAAGTATACGTTTCATTCACTGATTCTAACCTGAAGGCTTTTTCGATAGGGCTCAACTTGGGCCTGGTTATATGGGCGCTCTCACACAGAGATATCACACACCGCCGACCTCTAAATTAACACTTTCACTATGGCAATTAGCATAAAAGGCGGAGCCGACTTTGACAATCAACGTTGATTGGCTTAACCACTTGTCCTTGCCTTAGTGCGTAGGGGCATGCTTGCCGACGGGGACCGGTGGCGAGCGCGCTATCTGATTGGCCACCGCGGCGTTGGCTGTCAGTGACGTATGTCGGCATTCATAAGTTCGCTCAGCTGTGTGAGGGAAAGGTAGTGAAAGAAAAGGGGTAACATGGAGCCCGGCCAAGCAGGAGAGAATCAAAGCCACTCCGCTATGGTGTGTGCGTGATATCCGTGAACTGTCTGCCGGTGGTGAACATTTTCTCCGTCGTAAACACACATGCATCCAGCCACCGTCACTACCACCACAAACCCATGGTCGCTAACAAAATATTGACCACAGTGGCTTGCTTTTTTCTCGGAGTTATCTAGAGCCAGACAGTTTCTGTGAGCCCCACGATTTACTTGTCGACATCGCGAACTCTCGACCAGCGTGTGGTAGTAAAGAGCCCGTGAAGTAAACACACGTGCGCAGACGTCAAGATTAAGTGGCTGCGTGATTTACAAGACCGTGGACCAACAGTGATTGCTTTCCAACTACATGTACATGACTCGTCCTGTTGGATAGAATTTGGATATACCGCAGACCGGTTTTTAAGACCTCACAGTTTGTGAGGTCTGCAACAGTCAGCTTTGACCGACTGTATTAGTTTTAATCAACTCTGAACAAATTCTGGAATGCGAATCATTAATTTAAAAACTATCACCCATTTACATCCTAAGGCTGGGTTTCGCCGGTAACTGTTTCGACAAAAACAGCCTGCAGGAGTTGTAAATTGTTGGTAAAGCAGGGTGTCTTTTTCTTAGGGAAAGCAGCCCCTCTGTCTAGGAAAGGTGCAAACACAATGCGTATTGTTCCGGTAACTGAACTAACCACAACTGGCCTGTGACGACTGCACGGGGTTTAGAACAAGCCGGCAGACCCAGGTGTACATGTAACAAGATTACCGCCGTGTTGGAATGTCTCACCACTGTATGTGGTAGCAGCTACCTCGCCGTGGCTATCAACTGAACCTCCGCCAAATATCTGATAACAACTTCACATTTTGTGTTGCTGTTGAGATCGGAGCAAGGAGCCTGCCCATCAACACAGTGTGTCTGAAATCCGCGGGCCTAGTTTTGGTGGTTCTCTGCTTTCCAAGACGGCGAAGCGCAACAGAACAGAAGGTGCTGACAACAGCAGCAGCCGTGGACGCGGTACCGTCACCACGAGAGAACCGCACCGCGAGTTGACAACGGCCCCGCCGGCTCAAGCGTCGCGCAGCACGGCCGCCAGTATGGTTCAGATGTGCGCCGGCTGCAAGGGCCCTATCTTGGACCGTTTCCTGTTGAACGTGCTGGACCGACCGTGGCATGTCAAGTGTGTCCAGTGTTGCCACTGTAAATCCAGGCTATCTGAGAAGTGTTTCTCCAGGGACGGGAAACTTTTCTGCAAAGCCGACTTCTTTAGGTAAGCACAAGAGACAAAATACCAGGATCGAAGAAAGAGACTGACACATTGACCAAGGAGTTGTTACGCAATGACCTTGCTTAGAGTGTCATTTTTCAAGACTTCCATATACGGACATAACTAGTTTTCCCTTCTAGTAGTTCATTTGCCATCAGAGAGCGATAAGACTTCTTTAAAAGTCACATTTAGCACTGAAAATGTTGAACCACAAACTTTGAATACACTTAGAATTTTGCAGGTTAGTCTTTTAAGTTTGTGTTGTACACAGGGTGTTAATGATGTTCGGGAACTTCGAATATAACTCTTTCCATAAGTTCAGTTGTAGAACATTTTTATTGAACTTTAAAAGGTATGTAGGCTAAATGTGCATGTTGCTGCTTTGATGCTGGTATTTGTCTTCTGATTTCTTTAATTCTGTTACTTTATATTCATGGAAAAAGGCCCCAGATTTCAATTCCTTTAATTTTTTTCAAATTCTTTTTATCGCTGCCAGCTTACAAACTGTAAGTAAATATAGAGCGCCAAACATGTTAAACTGCAATAAATAGGCTAAAATAGACACATTCCACACTGTACCTGTCTTAGAATTTTCGGATTTGCCAGTGCCTCTGTTTTGGACATCCTGATTTCTTCTTGATTGCTTAGAGCATCTCAAGAGACAAATCAAACAGCTTTTATTACACCTGTTGTGCATGTATAGCAATAATGAATGTGAATCGTAAGGCGGGTCTCCCTTCGGTATTAGTTGGTTGTTAGATTTTCTGTATTTGCAAGCAAAATGGCAGAAAGCGCTTCAGTGAGAAGAGATGTCAGGCCTTGAACACCACTGTCTCAAGATCTTATCTTTGTAAGAGAAAATAATCATTGAACAGAAGGGCCCCGAAGAGAAAGCGCACGGGATCCTGAACGCTACTGCCGTTTCACTCATAATAAGAAAAAAAAGAACTCTGTGCGTACAACGTGAAAAGACCTACCTGGAGTGGAGACCACAATGGTATTGAAAAAAAAATTGAAATTGTTCGTCTGGCATGATGTTTCGAAGGAAACATGGGCGATTGTAGCGATTGTGTCAAGTGTAGCGATTTATTTTTATATTAAGACATTGGCCAGGAGGCCAATTTACCTAGGCCAGTATTCAATCATTTCAGGGCCAGAGCCATATTGGGGACACTGTACTATGGTAACTGATATGCTCGAACTTGAAATCGAAGCTACGGGTTGCCCTGCATGGATTGTTAATAAGTTTGAATGTCGGGCTGGAATCCCTGTCATGGTTGTAGGTGTTTACTGTGGCCACATCGAGCACATCGTGTAAAGACGAAGAGTGGAAACTGAAGCTTAATTAGGGGATGTTTTCTGTTATAAAAACACCCTGTTTACAATCTAAGTCCCGATATTTTTGGCAACGGCTGACAAACGTGTCACGCGCTGCACCTAAGCGAAGGTTTAGATTTAAAACAAAGAGCACATCTCCCCTACATGTGACGCAGTGAAACTAGTTAGAGAGACTTAAGAGGGGACAAATGACAACCTCTCGATGGTAACTGTGTTCAGCTGTCTCAGGAAAAAAAAAGCCTCGTTGAACTGTTTTTTCCGAATGTGACATTTAAGTAGCGACGCCATCAAATTATTGACGGGAGACCTGCTGGTCACGTGATACGCCCGCTAAGGTGTCTCATTAATTGGAATGGTCCGTCATTGGTTAATTGTTCACCCGTGCTGGAGTGATGTACCGGTATGGCTTGCTGTCACGTGATTGTTAATGCAAAGTCTGCGCCTGCCTCTTCCCCCATAATTTTAAATTCATCGAGGCTCGTATTCAAAAGTTTCTCCTTGTTTTCTCTTCTTCACCTCTAAGATAAAAAAAAGATAAGAACATATTTTGGAACAAATTGCGATACCTCTTTTGACTTTCATTTTTTTATACAGATTTGTCAACAGCTTTTCCAACCATCCTACAATTTATACTCTTCATATTATTGTTTTGTTGTTGCTGTTTCAATTAATCTTATCAATCTGTTTTGTAATCATGGCGATTGGCTCTTTCCGTATCAGTGAAATTAACGCACAAGTGGTAGGCCTACTCTTGTGGAACCTATACTCGGTGTCTGAATCAGTTCATGAATGTTTCTTCATTCCCTGCGAATGTTGCCACTGAAAACTGGATTTTTAGCGGCAAGGACTTCGAGAAAGGGTGAGGTTATGTGTCGCTCTCAATGTGTTCTTACAAACAACGTTTCTATCTCTATTCGTGAATGTTGAAATTGCCGTTTACACCGAGGGATGAAAAACATTAACCTTCCCATGATTTGGACTGAGAATTCCCTTCAAAGAGCCATTCCCTTATGTAGAGTGCTGTAGAAGGAGGGTTTCTCATATTTTCGCTTCCCCGTTTATGCCCCGTTTCTCCCCTGCCAGGACGTACGGGACCAAGTGTGCTGGGTGCTCGCTGGGCATTCTGCCGAGCGACCTGGTGCGTCGTGCGCGGAATAAAGTGTTCCATCTGAACTGTTTCACCTGCATGGTCTGCCGCAAGCAATTGTCGACGGGCGAGGAATTGTACGTGGTGGACGAGAACCAGTTTATATGCAAAGATGACTACATCAGTAAAACCTACGGTAAGTCCCCACATTGTGTTAGGTGTGTGAAATGAATTTCATTTGGGGAGGCTAATATTTCACGAGTGGCAACTGCATGGAACTTGCCATGGTGTGACCGACCGGCACGGTTTTAAGGGGCCATTTTTAAAAGCAATTTTGTGCAGTTTAAAGACAGTTTCGCATAGTTGGAGACTCGCAGTGACCTTGAGCTGGAAGTTTAACCGCGGAAAGTAATGTGTTGAAAAAACGGCCACAAAACCAGTCCCATGCAAAACACATTTGGGTTGGTAATCCTGTGTTACTTTAAAAAAAACTCGAGCTTTTTATGTGATTGGCTGATAGTTTGTGCTTCGCTGCATCCGAGTGATGTTAGTACTTGGCTTTGCAAGTCAAGTGTATCTGGAAGATGAATGAATCTTTGCTAATTGTTAAGTGCAAATACATGGAGCGTCTCCTGCGGACACTCTGTCGGGAAGCACACAGAGATGCCGCATCGTTTTTCGGTTAGCAGCCTCATTTGCATTCCTGTAAAATAGAGTTTTCACGCGCTCTGGGTTCGTTACTCACGATGCAAATTGTCCGCCGTCCCGTTGCACCCTCCGACCACGACAAAGCCAAGACGGAAGGTTTAACGATATTTCTTAGTCTGGGCACGCTGGCTGAATAATTCAGCAGGTCACTTATCAACCATCGCAGTTTCTTCGCGGGGGTTGTATTAAGCTCTTTTGGATGTTTTAGAAAACAGAGATCTCATGATTTCGTCGTTCCGGAAGTCCTTTGGGGAAGGTGTGAACGGAAACCTACTGACAGTAGTCTCTTTAAAAAATATAGGAATTTTTTTCAATTTTTTTTACTTTTTCTCCTCTTTTTTGATAAATGAAACAGAATTTTATTGCAAGAGGAACTAATTGCAGAATGCAACTGCGTTTGGATTTCTTTTTATTCATTTAAAAATGGGGGGAGAGAACTGAAGTGCCAATATCGAAAATAGCTGTCTATACCACGCATCCAGCTTGTTCGGTCGGGGCGTGCCTCATGTCTTGTTAACACAAAGTTGAAACAACAGCGAATGACCCAAAGCTTGACACTGCCGCCAGCGCTTCCGCAACGGTTGCTTGATAAGAAAGTTGATCGCTCAAAATCTATCATAATTAAGTGGTCGTGCCTTGGGATGTGCAGTTGGGGGGGGGGTGTTTGACGCATTAAAAAGAACGGCACACCCGGTGTGTTCAAGATTTAGCCTGAGTGTGTAAGCCATAAGAAGCAATGAAAGGTAGAGTGCAAACACAAGTAATGTGAACGAAGCTTTAACGGCAGGTTTTGCTGGAAAATGCATTGTTTTCGTTGTTACACGGGCGATGATGTTTTTCAGGTTATTCAAACTGCAGCCGGGAGCCACTTTCTTCAGGATTTCTTTTGTGCTGCTGCAGCTGAGAGATTTTCCCAAAAAAGAAATATTAATAGTGAGCTCAGAACACGCTGTACAGATCAAACAGCTTGGTCGTGCATTGATCTCAGTCATTGGCCTTTCAAAAATTACACTGTCGCTCCAAAAATCTGCATAGATCAGGAGTCTTCACTTTTCAAGGACCGTGTCTTGTGTACATTTTTTGATGGGGAACCCTCGATCGGCGATACCGGTTAGCGACACTGGAAAGTTCCTGGTAGTTTTGCATAGCCGCCGCAGAGTTAATTAATTTTTTCACTTTTATGTTGGACCAGTCGAATTAGGAGTTAATAAGGCATTTTTTATTGTTCCTAACGCAGCCAGGGTGGAATTTTTTACCGGTACAATGAAGCATTGCGCGCCTCTGTATTCGTGGCACGTATAATTGCTTGCTCTGTGCACTCCAGTATAGCGTTCAATTGTGAGAGTTTGCCATCCATTGAAATAAATTAAATTTATCAATTTCAGTTTTATTTTGGCGTGCAGTGGCACTGAACCAAGATGCAATTGTTTCAAAACAAAATGTCGAATCTTCGTTCAGTAGTTGTAGTAAAGTTAGGTCATTTCCATCTGCTATATAGAAACACTGAGAGGGGAAAAACCCAATTTTTTCGTCCTCTGTGGACTCCTTATTTCAGAGCGGGGGGGGGCTACACCGTTTTGACTGGGCGCAGTATATTGCTTCTGACGAGTGCACCTTTACCGACACTTTGGTGACACTGGTAGATCTATGCCCGTCCACAGCTATATGGCTCAGTTGTTAGTGCGCTGTTACGGCGATCCGGAAGGTCGCGGGTTCCAGTCGCGCTAAAGTCAATGTCTTTGTTCAGCGTGATACAGATTAAACTGAACATCGTCATTATCTCACTGTGGGTTACGTGATCAGATATTTTTCAGCTTGAGAACGTCACCGTCCGGATTCAACCCAAACCTCTGAAAAGGTGCTTGGCATTCTTTATCTCAATTCTTTAAACAAATTTGGTAATTTGAACAGTTTTGTTCTGTCTGTCAACGCATTTGATATATAAAATTCTCCATGCTCCTCCTCTTTGGTGTGCAATGGATATGCCCCCCTACCCGTTTATCCTGCCTGATCAAAAGCGCCAAATATGACGACGTTACTTGGGCACAGATTTGTGTACCCTTTTTGCAGTGCGAAGTCGTTGATTTTTTTGTTGTTTGACTAACAAGTACCTGAGCGATTATAAATGGCACATGGAGAAATGTTTAGCGCCAATTATAAATGAAGGGGATTTTGATTAATTTTCCCTCCCAAAGAACTCTAAATACCAACAGTCATCTATGGTTATTGTTATTCTAATGATGCCACAACACACATCAAGGATTACACAAACTTCTACAAAACCAACCGCTCCGGAATAACCAGTACTCTACCAGCAAAGATGGCAAACACGAATCACCCGCACACTGCCTAAAATACTACCCTGGCTTTTGGAAAAGCATTGAAAAGATCACACGTGGGAGTAATTCATAACGTGCGAAGGCCACGCTGCACCACAGGGTAAAACTTAATATCTCTCGTCTTGTTTGTTCACCGTCAACGTTTAAGCATCGCCCATCTCTTTGCGAGCCTAACATTTTGGTTGTAGAGGGTGTTATCGTTATTTTTTAATGGAAGGCGTTTCCACGATCACTTACCAAATCAATGAAGATGTCAGAAATTGGTTTGAAATACTTTTTTCCGCGGCGAGTTGTGAAAAGTAGGCAATGTGTTGAGTTGTTCACAGCTTGCACAGAAATTACAGGGAGGACAGTATTCGATTTATCGTGGATAAACCAGCTCTAGGTGATAGATGTTCATATTTTCCTCTGTCAGCTGAAAAACATTCCATCACGACTGCCACTAATTCGTGAGAGGGCGCTTTCGCCTTTTTTTGGCCAGCTCGCCCTACGTGGTTGATGAGAATATTTTTGAGCGACTTTGTCCTCGTGTTTGGTTTGAATGTACCTTTAAGACTGCAAGAACAAACACGAGTCATCGTTGTTGAAACTCGAGCCCACAAAAATTATTTCCACTTCGATGTAAAGATGTTGAATATCGTCGGCCGCTGGAAGATTTCTCTCTACGTCTTGGGAAACTGTTCACTTTGATTGACTGTGGGAAAAAATTCATGTGAATTTTGCTTCATCTTAGTGGTTCTTGTTTCTTTCTTTGAATTTTTTTTTCATTCAAAAGTATTTTTGTTCCATCAGGGTGAATTTATTGAACAAAGAACTCCAAATGTACGGTCTGAACATCTTTAATTTCCTTGCTGTGAAAAACATGTTTATTCCTTGAAGTAGAATCAAATTGACATCTCGAAACTTATCAAAGGCAAGTCATGCGGTTTTGGCGACAAAATGCTTGTCGGATGGTAAGAGTAAGAGCCATTGCACTATGCTGCTTCCATCCCTGGGTCCAGAAAAAAAAGTACAAACCAGCCAAGCTCAAGGTATTTGCGCTGGAGGACTCCTGATATATAGCACGGTTGTTTTGCTTGGACATCTGATTTTGTGTGGCGAGATCCCCGCTAGCCGCCGAGCGAGTGCACGCGTCGCGGGCCGAGCGCCACGGCCCACGTACGCCGCCGCGTTAAGTTAACACAATCAACAGCACTGTGCTCCACACTTAACCCGCCAAAATAGATTAGGGTTGTTGAATAAAATGTAATTTCCCTTCGATTGCCAACACTGTTTCCCATTTCACGTTGTTCGCATGCGAATTGCTTCCTCTCTCTTTTTGTGACGCGAAGGGATTTTTTTTTACCCCTCGAAATTTGCCGAAGGGTGTCCCTCGTAATTTAGGATGGAAATTGGCGAGTCTCTCCCCCCCTCTCCTTCTTGCTCTTTATTTTCAGTTGTAAAACTTTAGAGATTTTTTTTTGTTTTTTGCTCACGGCGCGTCGGAAAGGTTTCCCATCAAACGTTATTTTGATTCAATTCGGCAAATTCTCCCAACCACTTCGTCAATTATTTATACATGTAGCGACACCGAACATGTGTGGAGAATGTTATTATTAAACCGTCGTGCTTTAAACAACCCGGCGGTTAGGGGGGAGAATTTAATTAAGCGAATGTGAACGTTTAATCAAATGAATTAACGAACGTTTTGAAGCATATCAAAAGGTCCCCGTGTTTCGCCATGGTTGCACAGACTGCTACTGTGCCAGTGGTGTAGATCTAACTGAGCAACCTACTCTTGTCGGTTTCGATTGTGATCTGCTGCGAGACATTTACACGCGGTCCATTCTGGGAATTCAATTACTATTCACAAGAAAAGTACTCACATGTTACTTGCGGTTCTGCAGTACCGTACCTTTTGTGGTGTAAGTTAGTTGAAACATCGAATTGTACTAAAAGTCGGAGTCACACGTCATAGCGCCAGACCGAGATATAAACCAGAAAAAGTTCACGCTCGTGAAAGTCAGGAAACGACATTCAAAATCTGTCCCTATTTTATTTTTATTTTCTCATGTAGGCCTACTTTATCAATAAGTGAGTCTTACTTGTTTTGGGGTTTTGAACAGAATTTGACTCCTTGCATTTGTTTTATATTTTGTTTACAGCCAAGGGGCCAGTGCCGGATATAATGGACTCATACGGCGGGCTGACACCGTGCGATACGAGCTTGACTGGGAGTCAAGACGACGGATCGACCGGTGACATCTCCGGCAGCGAGGACCTGATGGACGCCGACATGCCCGAGCCCTCGCCGGCGCCGTCCAACCCGCTGACGGACGACGGTGAGAGGACCAAAGAGACGAACAATAACGACAGCGGCATCAAGATTGAGAGAGACCGGGACAGTGAAGGGGGCACAGGCGGCTCAACCGGGGGCGTGTCAGGGGCCAAGAGGAGGGGGCCGCGGACGACGATCAAAGCCAAGCAGCTGGAGACACTCAAGGCGGCCTTTGCGGCCACGCCCAAGCCCACCAGACACATACGGGAGCAGCTCGCCCAGGAGACGGGCCTGAACATGCGGGTCATTCAGGTGAGAAATCGATCTTTTGCAAACCGAGTATTTGTTGGACTCATGAAACTAATAGCCGGCTCTTTCCAGAGTGTATAATGCACTAGTCATTGTGTAGAAGTGTCTATTGTGTTTGAATGTGTTTGGAAATTATCAAATCTGCCAGTTTCATACAGTGGAGTTCAGTCAACCCCGGAGACAGATTGGTTGTATCAAAAAAGGGAACTTGTATCGTCAAAAGGGAACTTGTACGGAATCTATTTTGATCTACCCCAAGTTCATAACGCGTACATTTTTTAAGTTTATAGATATCACGGACTTATGAGGGATCCTTGATCTTAAAGAAACACAACATTTTATGTACAATCACTCTGGTTCGGGGATAGAAATATATTTTTTCTTCTATTTGTGAGGATTTTCAGTCATCGTACAACATTTCTAGGAAAACAAAATCCAGCAGTAACTGTGTTTCATAAACATGCATGTATCTCGCATATCGCCATTGTCGTGATTTAGCGCGATCGCACCTGACTATAGGCGTCCACAATTATATTACTTCAAACAAGGACCTCAGCATTCAATCAACCCCCACTTAAGAGCGATCTCAGGCCAAGGGGGACCAACTCTATCACGGGTGTTGTTACCCAAGATGTGGTTATCAAAACATCGCTCGCCAAGCACTCTGAACGCTCCAATGCTTACCACAATACCAAGGCACGACAGATCCGCGCCACAGAAATCCAAGTGCAGAGGATTCAGCTGTAGCATGTAAAATCTACCCAGTGTTGGCATTACCTTCTACGCAACGTGCGCATGCGCATACGATCAGGTTTTCAAAGCTGTGCCTGCGCGCACATGCGCCTTCTGGGTTTCGGTCAGCACATGTAGAATTTCACTCATGTCACTGCGTGGTCGAACACCCTGGATCGCTTTTTTTGTCACCCCCAGAGATTGAAGTTTAATTGCGCAGGTGAGGTTCGTTTACGGTCGGGAAAAAAAATCACCGACGACCATGAACAGAGGAAGATTTGAGTGGATAAACAGCAGAGCCACACGAAGTCTCAGGGATAACAGCCTCATAAAATAGGCAGGTGTCATTACATGTATGCCCAACACATTACCCATTCTCGAACGGGCCGTGTTCGTTTCTGTAAAGAAGTTAACAAAAAACTGTTCCTCTGCACTTCATATGAGCGCATTCTAGATGTCACTGCTCTTGAAGTGAAAAGGGGCAGACATGTGCAAGGAACAAAATGCTTGTAATTAATCTTCATTAAACATTGGAGCGGCTTTCGCATGAGGTTTCTATTTTTGTTTTGTTTTTAAGTATCAAGCTCTTTTCGCCTTGGCAAAATATTTAAAATATACACACGGTTTTAAGCGAGGATTTACTGCCTCTCAACACCTCCCCACACGGCGCGCCGAATATTTCAAGTTTATCGCCGTGAGATCCCCGCCAAATCTTTCATCCCTTCGCCCTGGGTCCGCGCGGGCCTGTCCAACAAGCTGACCTCGCCGGCGCTATAAGCCGACCAGATCACGAGATGCATGAATGGAGCGGGCCCAAATAGCCTCCAAGTCGCAGACGACAGTTTCGTCTGAGTTCCTTCTGGGGATTTTTTTATAATGCATCGTCCCCGCGAGCCAGCTCGAGCGGGCTCAAACTCTCGTCTTCCCTTGGGTCCCGGTAAAACTTCAAAGCGATAAGGGTTGTCCCTCTACGCGCTGAGGCATTCCTACCCGCAAGTAGTGCGCGTCCTACCCGTGGGCAGGGGATTCTAGTCCAGCTTTCAGGCACTTTGGGAGGGGGGAAAAGGGAAAAATAATCATCCGGGCCCAGCTGCTGTACCAAACTAAACTTGTCGAGTTCCATACCGCTCGAAGCCTGCTGACTTTCCGCGGCAAACTTTTTTTCTCTCTCCTAACTTTTGCAAAAACAAAAGCACATAACTGCAGCCTGCAACATCTGTGTTTCTTCTGTCTGCCGTCTGGTTGCGTGAACCGCGTTCGGTGCGGCTGTTGCTCGTGGGGAGGTTACGCGCGGTGTAGCGTGAGGTAAAATTGAAAGCAGCCCGCTTCGACTGGGGGGAAAAAAAGCACCTACCGGTAGGTCTCGGCCTTCCTGCTGGTTTGACAGGGGGGAAAGACAGAAACTCCTCTTTCCTGACAGCTTTCCAGAAAACTAAATAAATAGTTGCGTAACGATTGGGGGCGGTGTTGATAAAGCAACATGATACAAAGTAAATGCGGTTAACTGTTCCTAGTTTTGCATACCGACCGGTTCCTATACTTTTTCACATCTGCATACTTGCTAATCGGTGGCACCAATGTGTTATGCTGAATCAGGGCTTTCAGTTATTACAATAACTTTGTGAACCAATGTGTATGCACAAATTGTACCCATGGATGTGACCAACAAATCAAGGAATTTATGTCGTGAAGACTGTGAACACATGAGGACGATAAGTAATATAATCTTATCGACGTAGTTCACACAAGCGCGTAGTCAAAGTGGGCGACTTTTGATGGATACCTCAACCGACACTGTCAAAATTAAACCTTTTGGTCGCAGCTGTGGCAGTACGGTACCGAGGCTTGTCGTACAGCGTTGCGATCGTAGAATAATTGCAATTCCTTACGATTTAGTCAATAATCGTGCATGTCTGCGACCGCCAACTCAATCCAATGTCACCGCCTGCGCTGGCGGATGGTGAATATTAATTCAATTTAGTTGACGATCTTCGCTGAGTTCATGCATTTTTTTCATTCTTCGGCAATCTATACTTCAACCCTTCGTGCAGGGGTAGATGACCGCCAGCATGACTTCACCTTTCTCCTTCCAGCGTCCTGTCTGTTTTTTTTTTTACGATTCTGTTTTGACGTGACTTTTTGGCGAGGTGCGTGGCAAGCGACGGGCCTCCGCCTTTATGGAAAACCGCTTCGCTCGCGGGACACCTGGGTTCGAGGACAGTGTGGGGTCAGAGGTTGTGCCGAGTGGCCTTTTGAATTTTCTAAACGCCTTTTCAGGCAGTGTCGCTCGTGCATTGCCGATGATGGATCCGTTTTGGAACGAGATGTTACAGGCTCCAGTTGAATGAGCCTCGCAGTTCTCTCATTGAGCCAGCTCTGTCCTTTGTGTAAATGTTTTACCAGTCTTTGACCTCGAGTTTAAAAAACCAGACGTTTAGGGGAATCCATGTTTCCCCCCCAAATACCGTCATGCTGAAAAAGATTACCATCTTGCAAAAGGCCGGGGTGCCATTTTCTTCCATGTCACGATGATGCATTGGTTTGGCTACCAAGTCTTTGCGACTTGTTTCTCCGCTGGTGTAATGGTGATACAGCTTTATAAAAAAATCGGACCTACCAGTCTGACGAGATATTGGTTTTCTGTGGCAGGGAGAGGTCGCCCAACACGTGCGAAAGTCTACATGTGCATTGTAATGCCTATTACAACGGAATCTAGTGCCCGACTGCATCGAAACTTCACAGATGTTCTCACAAATTACTGTCCTTACTTGCCCACAGATTTTTCTGTAATCATCTACTTGTACACGGCTCACACCTTAAAGAGCAGAAAGTCCAAAGTCCTGTTTGAATGTCGAAAGCCCCAATCATATAAATTAAGGATAGAATTAGTTTCTTAAAATCAGGGTTTACACCAGATATGTCCATTATTTAAAACATGTAAATTCAAATGTGACCAAAATTCTTTGGCTGACACCTTTTTGTATCTCATCGATTCTGTAACAATTTGCCATTTTTAGGCTTATCATGAACTGTCCCGCTCTTTTAAGAATCATGCTCCTTATCCCTCGAGAATGATCACTTGCCCAGCGCAGTGCCGAGGGCCTTTGTCGGAATCATCCAGTCGTTTACTTATCCCATATTATCCTGTTACCCAATCAATGAAAGGGCGTGCGTATCGCTAATCTCTCTCAAAATGAGACCAGGTTTTTTTTAATCTCCCTCTCTCCTGTGAGAGCCGGCCATCGACACCGGGGGACGGGGCGATTAGGCCTATGAGACCTGCTGTTCGAGGGTATTGGGTGGGGCCCATTGTCCCCTTGCCAAAGGAGGGACGAATGGCACATTAGAGGTGTAGCCCAGCGTGAAATGAATCATTAGTGATCCGCAGCGGGGACATCCAGTGTTGCCCCAGTTGAGCTGTTTGCCGCGCACAACTTACAGTTCATGAGGTCATGTGAAACCTTTTAAGACAAAAATGTACCCTGAAATTTTGTACACACTTTTATAGGGACCAACCGACATCCAAAAGTGTGTAGGCCCATTCGCAAACTGGAAATCCGAATTAACGGGGCCTATATAAAGAGCGCCGTGACTCCCGGCCGGACATGAATATGTCATGGACTCAAAATGCCGGGCCGAACCGCTATCATTAATATTTGAGCAACCGGGATTAAATATTCAAAAGGTTGTCTTAGACCTGCCATCTGGACGTCGCATCGCCAGCGCGCAGGGACGGTGCTCCCTGCGCGTGATTGCCAACTCTACTGAAGATAGCACATGGTGCGATCACGCGTTTCACAGGCCGATTTGGAGCGTGGAATATTCAAACTGTCACTGTACTTTATCTTTACAGTGCTTTGTTATTTCCGTACTCTTGGTTAAACATAGATGCTTTGCACGACAGCCACTTATAATCTGTCACGCATTAATATATAATCAGTCGGGTTTTTTTTTTAATTTCAAGGCAGGTACATGTACATGTATTTACCTGCGTATAACGTCCACCTCGTTGTTTTCCCACAATACCTTTAAAATTTCGTCTTGATTAAAAGACCATTTGGCTCAGATTTGGGTTTCAGACAGCGCGTCTGGCAAAGTGGCATGATGTCTGCATGCCCCCTCTAGATGGCTCCCCGATATGGCGTGAACTCTCGTCACGAGACAGTAAAGATCTTGCATAACCCATGACTCGGCGGCTGAGCTTGAAGTTTCAAAGGCAAACCGTTTACGCCAAGAAGTTGGCCGTCTTTTCACAACACGGCCTGCCACTC